AATTCACCATATGTTTTAAAATGATTTAAGACGGGGAAGAAATTATATATTTTACCCATTATATTTACCCATTATAGCTTTCTGATTATGTCATTTTAATAAAGATAAGAAGGATATGAAAAGAATAGTGTAATAATGTAATCTCTAGGAAAGGAGATTTTATTAAATAAAAATGAAAAAAAAAATTTGGAATAACATACATTAATAAAAATTTTATTTTAAATTTATATACATGTATGTGTCTAATGATAAATACAGGAGTTTGGCAAAATAATTGAGACACTTCGATACTAACACATTTTTTAATATTTAAAAAATAAATACTTAGAGAATCAGTTCATAAATTTAAAAAATATTAAATGGTACGATTTCTCCTACATATCAATGAAGTTTAACGCTTTTTGAAGTTTGAGGTACCGACAATGAACTACAAACGGGAAAAAATGTTTTTCAACAACTGTGCCAAAAAATGTGACAATAAATTTGTAACTCATAACTATTATTTTGGATATTATATGCAATAATTGGACAAAACTTCGTACACCTTGGTTAAATATTTATGAAGATGTATGAAAATTTTTATAAAAAAAAGAATTTTTTATTTTGCTATAGTTTAAATATTAAAAAAAATTAAACAAAGCACTTGAGTCAATTTTAAACTGATAACGAAATTATTGCTTTAAAATTAAAAAAAATAATAATAAAAACTGCTCCAGATAAGAGTAATTGAAGTAGTTGCCTTATACAGCGCATGGGCGGAAAAAAATTTAAAAAAAATATTATCTTAATNAAAAAAAATTAAACAAAGCACTTGAGTCAATTTTAAACTGATAACGAAATTATTGCTTTAAAATTAAAAAAAATAATAATAAAAACTGCTCCAGATAAGAGTAATTAAAGTAGTTGCCTTATACAGCGCATGGGCGGAAAAAAATTTTAAAAAAATATTATCTTAATTTTACAGTGAATCGTATTTGACAACTAATAAGCTAAGTCCGATTTGACTTCGATGACAAAATGAAATAAGTTTCAAGCAATTTTCTAAGTAGTTTTCTTACTCTTTTAAGAGAAAGCTCAAAATTATGAGGGATTTTCCACAAATTTCATTTTGTACTATTAAACAAGATTTATTAACAAATGATAATACCCTACAAATAATGGTCTGGACAAGAAAGTGTGATGAAATTTGGAAATAAAACATGTGAAAGAAAAGATACTTTAATCGGCATAATCTCCAACCGGTGTCATTTATAAATCTTGTTTAATAGTACAAAATGAAATTTGTGGAAAACCCTTTATTATTTTGAGGTTTCTTTTAAAAAGAAAAAAAAAACTCCTTAGAAAATTGCTTAAGATATTCAAATCGGACTTAAGTAGTTGTCAAATAAGATTCACTACAAAATTAAGAAAATTTTTAAAATTATTTATTTATTTTATTTAGTTATTTTTTTGCGTATATGCGCAGTATAAAAAAAACGTTAATTAAACGTATTTGGAGCAGTTTTTAACAAATTTTTTTTAAACTTTTTATGTCAATAATTTTTTATTCAATTTAAAATTGATTCAAACGTTTTTATTTCATTTTATTGAATTTTTTCAAAGTTATTAAAAAAACACAAGACAAAAAAATAAGCTTTTTTTTTAATTTTTTTTTTTAAATTTTCATATTTTCAAAAATATTTAAGCTACGTTTACGAAGTTTAGTTCAATTATTGTATAGAAGAACCAAAATAATAAGTTACAAATTTATTACAACATTTTTTTTGTCATAGGGTGTTCAAAAGCATTTTTTCCGTTTGCCATTCATTCTCGGTGCCTCAACCCTCAAAAAGCTTTAAATTTCATTGATATGTATAAGAAATTGCAGGATCTAAATTTATTATTCGATTCTCTATGTATTTTCTGAGAAATATCAAAAAATGTGTTAGTATCGAAGTCTTTCGATTATTTTGTGCAACTCCTGTAGTATTCTTTTAATCAAAATTCGAACATTTATCTTCATTTTGAATGAAAAAATCGAGCATTATGATTTTATATTTGGAAGTTTACTTTTTCAATAATCATTTTGTTTAAAATGATTAAACACTACTGTAAATATTAAATTATAGTAAAAATTATAGTAATTAAATTGTAGTAAAAATAATTATTTAATCTATTGTTAATTATTAAAAGTAAATAAAATTAAAATACCATTCAATTTCCAACTTGGTTATTCGATTTGTTAATATTCTGTACCACTGCTATATTTTTAATAAGATACAGCGACCGCTGTGTCTATAAATAATAGCAAAATGATAAATTATAGCATTTTGTCACTTAATTTGAAAATAAACAAAAGAACCAATAATAATTCAGCAAGTCTTTTGTGTTTGAAATAATAATTTGAAACAGCCCAGGTGTGGAAATCAAAAAATTGCAAAAGCTGTATTTGAATGGGGGGAAAAATTAAACTTTGTTGGCAATTAATAACATATTTTTCCAGAATTTATATAAGAAAAAGCATTTGGATAAGGAAGGATTTTAAATAGTTTAGATAAATAAATAAAATGTGGTCATCATGCTCTGTAGTTTATATATGATAAAAATATCGGGCAATCGTACCTTATCATTATTGTTAAAACTTTTGATTTTAAAATGATTTAATATATCAATTTAAATATCTCTTAACTAAAAATAAAATGAAAAATAGTTAATAGTCACTTCATGTTTGACGAAAATACATTTAAAAATATTTTTATCAGCAAGTAAGACTCCTCAGTTCAACCTCTCACTTAATTGCTGGCGCGTCACCCCTACAGACGCCAACCCGAAGGGGTGTCCCTTTCGAACGCCAAAACGAAGGGGTGTGCAACCCTACGTCCACACCCCTCTTTAACTCCTTATATCAATATCTCCTCCATCATGGCTGCAGCTTCTTAGAGGGGTTGGGGCTGAAATCCAGGTGCATCTAAAAACGGATTAATACCCCAAGACACCCGAGATGAGAAACATTTTCATCAGATTTTTAAGAGTTCGCATTTCGTCACAAATTACGTGATTTCGTGACGAAATCAATCTCGAAATTAAGAAATATTGCTTTAGGATTGCTGAATCATCAACAGTGACAGTTTTATTTCTGATAGTGCATGTTTTATAATTAAAAAGCTTTTGAAAATATATAAGTAGGCTTTAAAAAAGCATATTAAACAGATCTAAAAGAAGATTTTGAAAAAATTTCAAAAAACTAGTTTTTTTGAAAACACATATCGGAAATGAAAAAGTTCTTAAAATTATTTAAATTATCGTGAGCTCAAACAATTAATGAACTAAAATAACAATGCTTTATGTCGTGTTTAAAAGTCACAAAATAACGAAAGACGTTGAAATGCTAAAAAATATTCTAGAAAATTAATGCTCCGGTTACAAAGGTTAAGGACAAAAAAAATGTGTTTTAATCAACTTTCAAAGACATCTCTAGGAGTGGCAAAATAGTTCTTTCTTTATTACATTGAAAATTTTATATAAAAAGGACTTGTCACACTATTTATTCAGCAAACACTCCGTAAAGTCTTCTTTCTCACAGAAGAAGCCTTTCAACAAACAAGATAGCAGTCCAATTTCAAATTTTTGCTACTCGAGTTTTACATGTCGCTCGGAACACAAAATTTTAGTGACGGAAAAGTCTCTTCTAACAGGGCATTAGATTCAGAAGAGCGAAGAAATCACACAAAGACAGGGCATTCCTTTAAATTCAGGACACTGTCAAAGACAGATAAATACGCCTGACTTAGCAGCTCTCTGAATAACTTAAATACTTCCTCCTTTTCGCATTACCTTCGATTTCTAGCCTTATCTAGCTTCGGCTCGTTTTCTGTGGAACTTACATTTAAATTCACCTTATGGTATAAATTTTCTTATGCGTTATTAAATCGCAAAGGATTTTTCGGCTGAATATTCAGCAGTCGCATATTTCCTTCAAAAATTTCTAGCAACTTTATTCTCAGGGGAGATTTGTTAAGATTTTTGTAGATTAGGTGAGTTATTACTTGTAAGAGATAAACTTTGCGATCATACTTTCGATGAGAAATATATTAAACTTAGCCATCATATTTTCACCTGGTGCTGACTAATATTGTGTGGATTTTATAATTTATATGGAACCTGAAGATTGAGGAGAACCACATGGAGGAAAATATTCTGGTAAAATTACCACACTGTATGGTAATAACGTTTCTGGTAAAAAAAGAAAAAAAACTCAGTTTGATCAATAAAACCAGTATACGGTATTTAAACCATATTTATTTCGGTAATTTTTTCGTTCATATGGCAACGGTATACCAGGATTTCTGGTATTCAAAATTATAGATCGTACTGACACACATTTAGGTAAACTAGTAATAAAAAGTAAATGTAACCGACAAAATGGTTTTTATGTAATGCTCTAAATTATCATAATAAAATCACCAAATTTCCCCACGTATTCCGAATTTCATTGTATATTATTAAACCATATTGTATTGTTAATTTTACCTAAGTCATTAGCAAAGCAATACAGTAAAAATTACCGAGCTTTTTTGTGCTCCCATACAGCCAGAAGCGTGATAAATTTTGCCATATTCTGATAGTTATGGACATACTTTTTCTCAGTGCATGATCTTCGTACCGGATCATTCAAGTTTTGCACAACTACCAACTTATTGTAGTAGGATGTATTGTTAACTAAAACGTTGATTCACTTAATTTTTCACAAGAATCAAAATTTCAGAATTAAATTTTAAATATTATTTCTAAAATTTTGCTTATAGATTATTCTATAGCAATAAATTAATAGTATATNCTGTGTGTGTCTGTGTGCGTGTCTTAGTGTGTGTCTGTGTGGTGTCTGTGTGTGTGTGTGTGTGCGGGCGTGCGTGCGTGCGTGCTTGTAATATACTGTTTGAAACATTATATGGAAAACATATAATATAATGACGTATTATAACGTATTAACTTTCTGAATTAGCTCTTTCTTCTTTTACAGATATGGATGGCATGTCAAGACTCAAATCTGTGTAACAAGCTTCAAAACTTTCAGAACGAAACGTAAAGAGAAAGAAAGTTGCAAAAACACTGACTTATATATATATTTTTTTTTTTTTTTTGCTTGAATTCTCCTCAGAAAATTATTTATTAAATCTAAACATAAAAATAAGTATGGAAAAGAAATCCTGCCAAAAAAGCTTATCTCTCATCTATTTTTATTGAGTTGGGGATGTTTTAATTATTTAAAGATTGAAAAAAAGTTTTTTTTTAATGTTGAAAAATTTATAAACAATCTAATGTAATTGAAAAAGTCATTAAGAATAATTTAATAAAAGCAGTAAGCACTATTTGATACTACAAATCGGGGTGTAGTATAAAATAGTTAACCAAATATGTGGCACTTAATATGAAAGATGCAAATATAGCTCAAAAGATATTTTATTAGAATATTCGAAGTAATGACAACTATTTAATCTCTTAGGGTGGATTGTCTTAAAGAAAGCTATGCGATAACAAAGCTAGGCGTTTTACTTTAATTGATAGCGTGGGAATAAGATTTCCTTAAGAAAATAAAAAATTTACTTATTTTAAATGTTGTTGGATCTCATAAATTGCCACTAATATTATCCCACAATTCCACAAAGTTGAAGATTTTTAATTTAAATCACATTCTTTGCGATTTCTGAATCGAAGCAAATCTATCCAATGAAGAAACTGTTTTCTTTAAAAAGAGTCTTTCTAGACTCTGACAAGATTCTAAAACTACTGAACGGAATTTGAATAAACTGCTTTTCCTGGGGAGCACAGAGAAAAGAATGCTGCTTAGGCGGTTTAATTGATTCCTTAAGTACTTTTACGTGAACGACAATGAAAGCGTAATTTCTATAGAATGTTGCTCTCCGCTTTGCTATTGATTGCGTGGGTGGTTGAGACCACTTCTACAGAGCTTCACCAACAAATTCCTACCAAAGATTTACCATTGCTTAATGCAAAAAATATTTCCTCTAGAAATCCTTTAATTTTTTCAAGCCTCCAGGAATCAATGATCATGGCACCTAATCGATCCAGATATTTCTCGACGGTGACTGGTTTCCGGAAAACGTCAAAAAATATACGGTCACCAGCAAATCCCGGAACCAATAATGGGAATCCTAAAGTCCTTTTCGTAGGAGGGATCATAAATCCTCCTTCAGGTTTCCGGTCTTATCTCGATGGAGAAGACATTTCTAACACTACAAATATGAATAACCCTTCTCAAAATAATGGGAGCCAAGGGAATGTGATAGCACATCTGGCATACTCCAGAGATTTTGAAGATCAGCATATGAAGCAGGCGGAAAAAGAGGGTAGAAAGAGCAAACTTCGGAATGATGATGAAGATTATCATTATGGCACATCCCTTCGAGAAAAAGTAAATGCCTTCTCCTTGAATGATAGCTCGTCCCATTTGCTCAACACCGAAACACGTGAATTACAAATGTACCATAAAACATCAGAGAGAAATGCCACAGAAACTAAAACCGTCCAGCTTTTGGAATCAGTGGCATATTTTAACATTTCTGTTGAAGAAGAAAAATCATCACCGAATAAGAGTTTCAATTCAAAAGTAACCGCAAATGTCCATGTCAGAAACAGCAGCGATATCCAAAATAAATTTCTTAATTTAAATTTTAACGGTGAGAATAAACAAGCCAAAAAAGATGTGCATAGTTTGGAACGTAAAAATAAGTTCGAAAAAAATTCTATGCCAGGAAATGGAAAAATAAATGAGACTACAAAGTATGTAGATGATGTTGCCTCTGATAATATAAAACACAGCACTGCTTTCACAAAGAGTTTCGAATCGCATGGAAGCACATACACACCTGCTTACGAAAACAACTTATTAGTTACTGCAAATAATGATTTCAGGGAAAATGCTTCCATTATTTCTAATATGCAACAAGATGGTGCTTTTGAATCTGTTACTAAGATAACGGAACAACCTTCTAGTGAAGGACATTATAGTAATAACAAATTTCATAACGAATGGAATGAAATTCATAAAAGTGACATTTTCTTGAAAAATAATCCGCCAACATCATTATTTTCTTCTTCCATCACAACTCCAGATTCCCATATGAATGATCCACCTTTCCGAGGTCCAAATGTACCGTTGGATAGCGATATTTTTGTTAGAGAAAAGGACAAAAAAATAGATTTCCGGAACTCAGTTAAAGAAACTCCATATTTTCCTACTTCAAGTATAGAAAAAGGGTGGAATGATATAGACTCTCTTGGAAGAATTACTTGGGATTATCAATGTTATATTACTGGATCCATGTTTTCTGTCATCGCTCTCTATTTATTCATTAGTTTATTGCGAGTAAAGACATTCATCCCTTTATTAAGAACATGTTATTATGTAACAATCAATTCTATAATATTTTTGACGTGTATTTTAAGAGCATTTTACCTTTTCTATGATCCTTATGGTTTTTTCCATAAACTTCCAGTTGTAGTATCTCAAGTTCTTCTTAAAATAACAGTACCTTGTTTAACATCAGCTTTCTGTTTCTTAGTTCTATCATTACTGAGCTTCACAAAAACTCAATTATTTTCGCCAAATTTACAAACACCATCTGTGTTAGCTGTAGTTGTTGTTTTCGTTATATCTCTTTCAATAACATTAGAAACTGCAATTCACGTGTTTCAAATATCTAATATATTTCTGTTATTGTGTTATTCGATTGCCATATCTTTTGGTGGATTCTCATCGATATCTTATTTCTTCGTATTCAATCGATTACATCACAGAGCTTTAAGAAAACAGGGTGAAATGATTCGTGTGACATTTACTAAAATGCATATTGATGGTGCTCGGTTACCTAAAAAGTTACCTAGACCAACTTTAGGTCTCGCTGTGAAACTCGTTTTGATGGTTGCTATTTTTCAAATTATTTTGTGTAGTCTGGTACCATACACTGTACTCTTTCTCCAAGGGTTATTGCCAAAAGTAACAACTCCTACCCCATGGTTGTGGTGGAGCTACCAACTATCTTGCAGAATACTTGAACTAATGATATGTGCCACTATTTCTTTTATTGCAACTCAGCCACTAAAGCATTTCGAAGTTGACAACAATGCCTTCCACAATATTCTTATGTGCTTTCCTTGTAATTCTTTTGGGAATTGTTCTCAAAGTGCAGAAATAATAGACTTTGAAGCTCATTCAGACAACTATGCTAATCCTCAGGGTATTAGAAATCCAAGACTTAATTTGATTAGAAATACACGAAGACTTCAAACAAACTCTCTTCCAACTTTTCGAACTCCTCTAACAGCAGTTGATAGCAGTATGCCAATGCGAACTTTACCATGTAGTGGAAGGCATACCAATCATTCTAGTGCTTTATCTTTGCTTTCATATTATAGGTAAGAACTTTATATCCGTATATAGTATATTTTAGTTAAAATGTTCTTATCAGTTTACTTAGGTATGAAATTAACAGAAAAATCGTGAATTTTCTTTGGCAAAGCAAAAAAGTAAATTTAGAAAATCAGTTCTGAAAATAGTCATTTATTATATAACTAGTAAACTTTAAAAATTAATTTTTCCAAAATGAAACAAGAAAAAGTGGTGGCGCTACAGCTTTTTTTTTTTTTTTTGATGATTCATGTCTGACGTAACAGCACGCGTAAAGTTTGAGTTAAGATAGAATATCTATATAAATTGCTACAAGAGTACGTGGCATAATTTTTGGCAAGAATATCACGTTTTTTTATTTAGATTTTAAAAGAAAATTATTCATGACAAAAAAATATGCAATAAAATAAAAACTTCTTCGTACTTCCATAAATTTTGTAATTTTAAATATCTTAAACTAAAGAAAATTGGTTAAGATTTGTTTCAGCTGAAGTTATAACAAAAACAATTGTTTTTTGGGCACATGTCGTCGACCGTGACATGCATGCGAAATTGAAAATTCGAGTACTTTTCTTTGCTCCTGCTATATTATTTTCAAAAATTAAGAAACCTTTTAAGCAAAAAGAGGAAGGGGAGAAACATCCCAGTTTGAGTTTCCCATTTTTAAGGATACCACTATATTGTACTGCGTAACTTATTTTCATGCTTTACTTAGACATTTCTTTTTGAACGCGGTAACCCATTTATCCAAAACTTAATTACCCTAAATTTAAGTAAAGTTGGGATCTTATATTATAGTCTTCTTTTAAAAAGTTTATATTCGAAGTCACGTTAAACTTTTTCCTTAGCTTTTCTAACCGTAAAAATGTAACACACTAATAATACGTTACTAAACATTAGTAATACACATATGTGGTTTACTTTATTGCAATATTTAAAGATAATGTATTCATCAATTACTCTGATTAACATTTTTTTCCATTGCAGGAGATTTTCTAACATGTCTGAGATCCTTTCATATCTCTGGTTTCAAATCTGTTATTGGTTTCATATCCAAGCTACAGTTTTTTAATGACATTCTTAGTCTATTGTATAACGTTGTTTTTCATAACGTTATATATAAAAAAGGCTTGCATAAATTTTGCAACAAACTTCTAGGAAAATTAGGGCACATGATTGGGATTAAAAATGAGCAGGAACCTATGCCCGTAAATGCCTCTTCAAACGCAATTAAAGGAAAACAAACACAATCTTATCTATTTTGCATAAGTACTTCATTTCAAGATAAATAAATTTTTTATTCGAGTAAATAATTCATTTTTATTTCTTAATCTTAAATTCAGAGATATTTTTTAGATTATCGACAATAAAATACTTATTTAACTTAATTGTGAACAGCAATAATGCAAAACTTAAAACTGAAGCGGTTTTCAATATAGTTTTCAAAATACTAAAAATTCTCAGTTTTTTATTATTTCTCTTTCTTCATGGTTTAGACATAGATTCTCGCTTTAAACATCATAAATTGATATTATATGAAAAGAAAAATTTAATATTTCAAATGTTGCAAAGAATTTCAAATAATAATTTATCTGATAAATCAGATTCAATATTTGATTTCCTAAAGGGAAAATAACAAGTATTTTTCTTCCCTTCTGCTTCGACTGGTGAAGTTTGATGCTTTCATATCGACTGAAAAAAATGATCTTGCTTTACAATATTGAGCAATGAGGAGTTTTAAATCTTTTCCTCTGCATAGAAAGTGCACATCAATTTTCTTTTGACACTTTTTTATAAAACTTTAATCGAAAGTTTAAGATTATTTTATCGTATCATACATGTCGAATGAAAAGTCTTAAATGTAACCTTCTTCTTTATTTTTCGATTTAAAATATACATAAATTGGTCAATAAATGCAATATGACATGAAAGCTTAGAATTTTTTTTAAAACATGCTTTATTGCAAACTTGAAATTAAATTTTTATTTAACTTCAATATATTTCAAAAATGATATCATTAAAATTTTTATTTAGTATTTAAGCAGCATTAATTTATTGAACAGGTTAAGAAATTGATTTCTTGTTAAGACATTTTTTCATAAAAAGAATATTATTCTTAGTTGTATTTTAATTTATACATTCTATTATTTTTTTCTGAAGCGAAGTGATAATTGAATTTGGTTTTCATAATCTCAGTATTCCATCAGCGTAAATTTCCTTCAGTGTCATTTAATAAGCTTAAATTTAATCACAACTCTCTAATAGTAAGAAACTATTCTAAATTTATTAATAAGCGTTAATTAATTCTTGACAATCTACAGTTTCTTTTTGAAAAATAGCGGCACGACGCCTTTGTAAAAGAGAAGGAAAAAAAGGCTTTTTAAGTAATTTTTCTTCTAAAGTAGAATAATCATGTATCATTATTTATTCTAGTTGAATGTCTTAAAAATACTTTGTAATTATTTCTAATAAAACAGTTAAGATTTTTGCCTAAAAAGAAAAAAACCTTTTGAATGCTTCACAATTTTACAATTTTAATAATATGAATGAAACTGTTTTACTTTTGCTGTATTAAATATTTTCAAATTACATCAGTTTATGTTAAGTCTTATCTCATTTAAAATTTTAAGGAATGCGATTAATATAATTATTCTTGTATTTCTTCTAAGAGTTACTCTCAATGTATCATTCCAAATAGTTAATACTAATAAGTTTACAGATTTCCCAATTAAAAATTAAACAAATAATAAATATTATGATTCTAAATTTAATTTACGTAAATTAGCTATTGATTAATGGAAGTTAACTCAACATTTGAAATTCGATAATAGAAGTTTAATTAGCATTTAAATGTTTAAAAGCTGAAATATTAGCGGATTAGTTCTATGCATGAATTTATCTATTTCTCACTGATAATGCATATTTATAGTATAATACATATATTTGTATTCTAGTATTTTCTGAATGGAACATTTAAACCCATAATATATGAATTTTAAAGGATTAGTGACTGTAAAAAAAATCGTTCAATTTTGTTTCAGAACTTTTGCACTGAATGAAAATCCCACAGAACCATTTAAAAGGAACAAATATAAAGTTCTAGTCTAAAATTTATTTTTTAAAAAAAGTTAGTTTTAAAGGATTCTACTTCATTCAGGGATAAATATTGTATATATTTGCCTTAAATTCTTGTCACAAGGCTAATGAATTTACAGCCATTTTGTGGTTTTTTTAATAAAATAAAGCTTTAAAAATAATTTGTGTTCCTTTTAACATTTATTTGAATTAAACAAAAACGTATTTTAGAGTAACTGAAACATTTTCATTTCATATATTTATAATATAAACATGGTTGAATGCAACATATATATACTAATAATATCGTTCTTTTTAAACTGAAGAAATAACATTATTTAGAAATAACTTAATAATAACTTGAAGTTTTGAAAATTTCCTGACAACATTCCCTCAATTTACTGTCGAGAATATTAACCAAACAGATAAAAGCAAGTTTTTGATTAAAATTTTGATTTTGCATAAGAAGGATTTCGTACTAGATTTTCTATTTGTCTCTATTTGTTCTTGTTACAACTGATACATATGTTATACAACTGAAACCACTTTTTGCTTATTTGAAAGGAATTATTTTGCTTTTTTTAAGACACAATTTTTTTTCTATTTGTTGTAATGTGCAGAATAGTATCTTTCATCATAATACTGGCACTTTTTCATTTAAAATAAATTAGAATTGTACACATACGTCAAAATGTAAAGAATTCTAGAAATAGAGAAGTAACATTTTTAAATAAAAAAAAACATCTAACTGAAAATAAATATGCAAGTATAGAGGAAGCAGAAAATTTAATCCATTCTGGCATCTATTTAAAAGGCGTACTAAAAGACTGTAAAACAGAAAATGCTTTGGAGCATTTTTTATAGTAAACCTCTAAATTTCATGTATCTTTACAAATAAAAGAATTTCGTATCTTTTGACTTGGATAGGTGTTTTTTCTAATCATTATATTTTTTAAATAAAATGTTAAAAAACTTGAAAAATCAATATTTAATGAAATGCTGCTTAGAGCAAAATTCTCCTTAAAATCTGTTAATTTTGAATAATTATGAAACTTCTAATCGACGCTCTGCTGTGCATAAGGAAAAATACGAAATTGAGGAAGAATAGAGATGTTTTTAAAGAAGCAATTTCTAGATTTGTTACAACATAAGAAACAAAAAATAAAAAGTTTTATCTAATTAAAAAACTTGTGTCGCTCTAGATAACTATAAGTTGCTTTAAATTGTGGTTAAACTAGTTCAAGTAGCGATGTTGAATAGATGTGAATGACCAAAATTGGTTGTTAAATAAGAATCGTTTTGTCCGAAATATATACTAGTTCCAGTTAAGTGTCACTTCCCGGTATGCCCTGCATCAATGCTTTTAAGGTCCAGTATGCATTTAACTCTTAGGAGATATTAAAATATTGAATATAATATTATTGAATTAATCGGACATATTTGTGACAAAGTCTCTTCATTTCGGTCATTCATATTTAAGATTGGTTTGAGACCAAAGAAAGGAGGATTATCAAGAATCAGTTCCAAGTGTGGGCATATAAATGCAGACAGTTATATGTATTGCTCAAATGCATTTTATCTCCTCTTACAATTTAAAATATGATATTTACACTATTATACAGTACACTATTATACATATTGTAAACTCAATAAATTGAACCATATCACCTTGCAAGTTAAATCTTCTCCATTTCAATAGTTCATCTTACATAGGTTTTTGAATACCATTAGAGCAAATTGTCATAATATTAGAGCTTAAATTACTGATAATATGATTCAATATTGAACTGATTTTTGTGAAAGTCGTGAGAACAAATAATAACGCTTTTTGAAATTGTCTAACGGACTTACCTTTGAAAACCATTAATCATATTCTAAAATATCAATCTTCTGCTGTAGTTGTTGCCGTCGGCCATTAAAGCAGAGGGGTGCTATTGTTCTTGTTTTTGAGTGGCGCCATCTGTAGCCAACAATTCGACTTTTGCCTCAACCGTTTATAGGGCGAACCCATTCATACGTCCATTCATTCAACCACTGATCGCAATTTTGACCTGAACCAGAGAACAATCAGTCTTTAATTCAGCACCCTCAGAGGTATAATTTTTGGGGAACGTGGAGGACTTTGTGATCCGACTGATTTACCGTGCGCCAATCACGAAGAGTCTTCAACCGGCTGGATTCCAGCTCCCGTTCTCACGAATGTGAGGCATGCACCCTGCCAACCAGGCTATCCCGAGCCGCGATGACTCAGGGGATAGAGCACTCGCCTTCCAATGCAGTGAACCGGGTTCGAGTACCAGTCGATACAAGTTCTGCATCCGGCTTGCACCGACCTCAGTGCTGACGTGAAATATCCTCAGTGGTAGACAGATCATGGGTTACAGTCCCCTTGCCGCCAGACTAACCGTGGCAGGCTCTCGTGGTCTTCCTCTCCACGTAACGCAAATGCGGATTAGCTCCATCAAAAAGTCCTCCACGACGGCAAATTTCTCCCAATACTTGATCCAAGAGTACTCCTGTCTTCCGTATTGGGTTCAAAATTACAAGACTACGGAGTTGAACATTAGTAGTCTTAAACCCATAAAATGTGGTTGGCTGTTCAACGACGGTTATAAAATAACATCAAAAACCAGGCTATCCTGGCCCATCAATCTTCGATTAAGTTTAAATTATATGTTTGTCGTCTATATGTATATTAATAGCATTTTATTTTTAGGTCCAAACGAGCCTTAAATATGTCCAAAACTGAAGATCTTGACGATTTGGAGCGCACTCTATGCAGTCAAAGCGTTTCCTCGTCAGATGGAAGAAGTTTATTTCGCCCTACTTCCATGCTGTATAAAGACAATGGTTTCATTCGTTTTAGAAGAGAAACTGATCCACAACAACCAATGGAAATGAGTGATGACGACGATCATATCCAGGAAGATATTGATACTAGCGTAGAAGATGCTGATTCCACAAAGGCAAACGTTGGATCGAGTTTTCATTCTTTATTAGAAAGTGACATCGTACAAAATACTTTGTCTCCTTTCTTTCAAATCGATTATAAAAGAAGATTTCGTAAAATGAGTCGAATTTCTATTGAAACCACAGATTATAGCGCAGATATTTCTTCTGATCAGTTGAGTAATATCGTTAATCTACGAAATGGACTATCTACTAGTGCTCTCGATTTTCATACCAAAAAATATGGAAGTACATGTAGCTCAGAAAGTGCAGCTAATAGTTTTGACGTAACATTTTTCCTGAACAGTAATTCATCTCCTCAAACTTCACCAATTAGTACCGCTTTGAATATAATATCCGCATATCGAAGTGAAACGGAAGATGATAAGACGTCTAGTGTTGAAGGGCATGAGGAAATGCTTCGTAGCGTTTCTCCTATTCTTAAACAAGCTTCGTTTGGAAGATTGTCTTTGAATTTGAATTTGCATGCTTCTACACATACAAACCATTCTAATGGACACGTTAATGTTGCTTGTGGAACAGAAGATATTACACCTGATTCAGCAGTATATCTAGATCTTCCCCGAGAAAGTCCCAAACTTTCACCCAATATCTTTGAAACTCATTTTCCTTTACAACCCCAAAATTCTCCAGAAGACACTTTCATGAAGTCGACGGATGATTTATTTCCATTGACTGGTTCACCATACTGTTCCCCAACAAGTCAATCATTGGGTGAAATACGAACGAGCAGTTCATATGTCATTCCTCAATTTAGGAAAAACTCTCGAGGACTTCTTTGCAAGCTTAGAGGATCGACGTTTTCCCTTAATACAGCTATATACGGTTATGAACCTTTAGAGCATGAAGAACCCAAAAAAGGTTTTCTGTATCGCAAAAACAGTAAAACACTTGAGAGATCTTCAAGTGATAGGAGGCCACTTTCTGATTGTCATTTGGATACAAAGCTTTCAGCAACATCTTTAGCAAGGAATAGATTATCCTCTTTTGGTTCTGATCATTTAGGGGATAGTGGTCTTTTAGGAGATTGTGGAGTTGCTTTAGTGGATGTTGCTTCTCAAACTGATGAAAATGTAGAATCGCATTACATCCATAAAAGTTACTCTCTTGTCACGAATGCTACACAATGTCCCCAACTACAATCATAAGATTTATCATAGTTTCAGTGATAGTAAATTTAAAACGTTGAGAGGATTTTGAAATATAATGTACAGATAATGAGATGTATCATCTGAATGTGGTTTATTACAATTTGCAACGTAGAGACTGTTTTTATGAAAATTATTAAGTGGCTTTTTTAAAAATTTACATATATATATATATATATATAGTAGACATGAGGTTTCGCCGTGTTGCCCAGGCTGGTCTCCNTATATATGTATACATATATATATATACATATATATATATATATATATATATATATACATATATATATAATTCTATGATAATAAAGACCTTGAAATTTAAAAAGTTAATATATATTTCATGTTTTTTATTGGTTTACTAAATACAACCCGCAAAGCAAATAAAATTTGTGAAAAATTCTTTGTACAAAAGTCTTTTTTTTCAAAATATCAACATATTATAGCATATGAATGATTAAACTTCATGAAAGAACTCTTATACATACTAATTTTATGTTTTAAATGTTATTTTTCATTTCATTTTATTCTAAAGAAAAAATTAAATTTGATTCTAATTAAATTTTATTAAAAAAGTAAATTGATAGACTCAGCTTTTAACGTTTACGTCAGTCATGAAAATTATTAATTCGAAAGCATTACACACTTTTTAATTCTATCTATAATAAAAAGAATATCGGTATTATGAAACAAAATTGTTTTTAGTTAAGAACTTCACCTCTGAATTTACTATTGTAATAAGTAAATTTAATGGTAACTTTAAATCGAATTAGAATAAGCGTATAAATTATGTCACAAAATATTTAACATCCAAGTTTCAAAAATCGCGTTTTATTTTACTTAAAATTTTAAAATTCATATGGAACTTCTGATTAAAATTATCGAAATTATTCTATTTTATAAAATGTTTGTTCTCAGTTAACCACAAAATTATTATTATTAAACTAGACTGAAATATGAAATATGTGTATCTGATATTGATAAATTGGACAAATGATTAAAATCACAAATATTTGTAAAACTGTTAACTATTTTAAATCAAACAATTTTTCTTTGCATGCTCTAACAATTGCAAATGTAGCATATTAAACTCAATGTAATTAACTGATATCATAAATGTTACTTATAATACTTTGCACTTTATTAATTTTGTGAAATGTTATAAGTTGATACATATTTTGACATATTTCTAAAAGATTCTAAGACATGCATTTTATTTCTTTTTAAGCATGAATTTTCTTTATGTAAAAAAAATAATAATTTTATAACAAAGTTGTTTTTTTTCAAATTCTTATTTTTTTAATTTATTTAACAATTAATAAAATTCATACAATGTGTAATGTAAATCAAGCAAGAATTTTTTTTTTATTTATATGTCACAATTATGTAAAATAAAATATTCTAATTTATTTTTGCCATATTTATTTTTGAAATGTGCAAAATTTTTAGATTCTATAAATATATCAATATCCTTATTTACTATAAAAATTCTATATATTGTCTTAAAACAGGGCCCTCACAGTTTTAAAAATCACTGGCGGTAATTTTTTCATTTGAACTACTGAAAATAATCTATTTTCCAATCTAGATTTGTAAAATTACTCCAAAATTTTCACTTCTATGCACATTTAATTAGGTATTCCTGATATTTGATTGATATATATATGTACTATAATGATTTGCTATACTTTATTCTTTTCACCGATTTCTAACTTTTTATGTATTTTTTTAAGTCTGTGAGAACCCTGTTAAAATGTGTAATATTTTTTATTTCTTACACCAGTTTGTAACATGTGAATTTTAAACATCACTTATCAGTTTTTCTATTATTTTAAAAATGTAAATACAATTGTTAGTAGTCTTAGACAATCATTAATGAAATTTAAAAATTAAAATTTAATATTGTACTGAACGTAATGTTTCCTGGTCAAAAATAATACAATTTTATTTTCATAAAATTGTATTCTTGATTCTAAAATATATATCTTTCTTTATCTTCTAAAGGTATTGATAAATAAAGTAAAATTAAATTTATACACTGTTTTGAGTATCCTTACATTAGCTAAAATTTTAATATATTTTTGTGCATCAGCTTTAATTGGTAATCATAAATGAATTATAAATTAATACAATTTTAAATGAATATAAATGAGTGAAAATATTATAAATCCAAGCTTAGTAATATCAAATATTGCATATCAATAACGACACTACTGCATAATATAATCATTTATTTGACAAATTATCGAAAAATAAATCAACGATTTACGGATCAGGTATAACAAATTATATCGAACATTTTCAGTTTCACATTTCTAATTACTGCCTATTTTGCTATTATTTTTCCTTATTAATTCCATATTTATCCCTATTATTTTCCCCTTATTAGTAATATTATTGTTATTTTTCGCAAGCATTTCTTTTCGTTAGATTTTGTAAATAACAGGCATTATCATGGGATATATTTAAACGTTTTTTTACTGTGGAAAAAATATTTGTTAAACTTTTTCAAAAGCTATTTTGATTTTGGAGCTCTTTTAAAAAGTTGTCAATATCAAACAAATAACAACTTATTTAATGCAAATCAGATAAAGATTATATCATTTGAAAATAAGAACTCTTGTATTAGAAAATTACGAAAATCATATAGAGTTATATTTATAATTTTTAAACTACAGATCAAAAATATTTACTTTTAGTGAAATAGGTTTTAACAAAAATACTTATATTCTATTTTATTTTTTTTAAACAAATTTTCTTTAAAATAAGTAAATATTACAAGTAAGTAAATCTCACAATCAGCAAATTAACACTTTTTTGAGCATTAAAAAGATGCAGAACTTAAACCAATAGAATAGGCTATTTTTAATAAAATTTATTTCTGCTTTCACTAAGCTGACATCCATTTTGTCATAAATGGAACACAAAATAACCTTCTTCAAAAGAATTAGTAGGTAATAACACACAAAGCTTTTAAATTACCATTTTCGGGGAAACAAAATTTCATTCAACCTTTCCATTCTTCAAAACATAATGGGAAAAAAAGCTGAGTGTCATTTAAATACACATCGCTTCGGAAATGCATACTGTATTATGATATATTGATCATACAATCACTGATGTCTAACGAACCCCTTGTTATTAAACAAAAACCAGAAACTACTAAAAAGATATAATAAGAAAAGGAAGTAAAAAAAGAAAATCAGTTGAATCTTGATGTCTGCTTCATTTGAAGAACAAGCTGCTCAATTTCAGCTGATGAAATAGACTTTTGGATAACCTGCTTCACTTTAACCTGGAACCTGATGAATTTTTTATTCGGAAAAAAGGGGATTATCAAGGTTTGCGTCTTCCCAACTGGAAATCAAAGTAGCTTAGCGAAGTAGAATTGAATTAGCTAAAAAAATAGAATGTTTCGTTTTTCTCTTAGCTAGTCTTAAGTGAAAAAGCGGGAAATATTGCTTTGCTTTCGGAGCTATTTTAAGGATTTAAGCAAAATGTTTTAAGGATTCAAGCAAAATGTTGCAATTTTTTCTAAAATATTTTTTTTCTACATAAAAGAACATTTTCTTATAAATTCGAATATTTTTACGCATAAATATTTTTTTTATTTAGCTAGCAAATCACTCGATTTACTTACGCAGCGAGGGAAATTAAATGTATTTTTTTCAGATCTATCTAAAATAAAAATTACGCGAAACACGACATAATATGCGTTTCTGATTTTTTTATTTTGAATAATTCTTTAAGCTCGCACACCTACTAGATGAAAGCGCTTGAAAATCTGCAATTTTCTTTTAAGAAAATCACATTACACTACTCATTATCTATAAAAATTATTGTTTCTTTAAGTAAATAAAATGACAGAACAGAAGGTAAGAAATCCTAAGTATATCTTTACTTTGATTTTCATTTTGAATTGCATTTAAGAAGTGAATGATGAAATTATGAAACTGAACGCGTGTATTTTATAAGAGAATGTCTTAACACAATTATTTATCAGGAATGATTTATAAGGAAGTTATCAGAGGTTCTGATAACTTCCTTAATTTTCATCTGATTTATTTAAACTCTTTAACTACATGTTTATTGTATGTATATTGTCTGAAAAGAAGGGGATCTTCTATAGTTTATCTCCAGATTTCAATCTCACGACAGTCAAGATTGACGTCTTAATTGTGACATGTTTATTAGATGGATCATTATGAGATCCTTCTGAGGAGGAAAGTCCACGTGAATTCTCTTCCAGGCATCATTTCCTTTCTTATTAAAATATACAAAGTAACCACCGCAAAAATGTGAGAGGTCTTAACTAATGATAATAGTTTCAATTAGAGACATGGTGGCTCAGACCACTCGCTTCCCAATGAGGTGACCAGATTTCGAATCCCGGCTGGTCTATACGAATGACGACTCGTGCTGACCACAGTGCTGGAGTAAGGTATTTTCAGTTATGGACGGATCATGGGTTAGAGTTCCCATGCTATCAGGCTAACCATGGCAGTTTTTCATGGTTTTCCTCTCCATGTAACCTGGTTGTCTGAAAGTCAGGTGTACAATGACGGTTATGAAATAGTTTCATTTTGTGAAAACGTTATACCAAAATGTAATGAATTGAGAGCATGAAGTAAGACAAGCAATGGTCAGTCGTGGAATGTGACATCTATCGGAACCTCGAAACTCACTATTAAAAGTTAAGAGCTAGGGACCAAGTGAAATTTGATCAAATAAGCAGGTGGCTGAAAGGTTGTCAATGGAATAAATATTTTAAGAGATATCACATAGGTTATTCAGGAAGTTTTTGTTTCATGCAAAAGCTTTCAATCTATTTTTAGTTTTCAATTGAACATATTACATTGCTCAGAAATTACCCTAAAAGTCCGAGTACATTAATTAATTATATACTAAATTATATACTAAAGTTTTTGTTTCATGCAAAAGCTTTTAATCTATTTTTAGTTTTCAATTGAACATATTACATTGCACAGAAATTACCCTAAAAGTCCGAGTACATTAATTAATTATATACTAAATTATATACTAAAGTTTTCGTTTCTTGCAAGAGCTTTGAATGTATTTTTAGTTTTCAACTGAGTACATTACATTCATTGCACAGAAACTAACCCTAAAGTCCGTATACAT